AAAAAAAAAAAAGCTTATTTATTTATCTTGAGACAGAGAGCGCTTGCAAGCATGAGCAGGGGAGGGGCAGGAGAAGGAGAGAGAAAATCCCAAACGGGCTCCACATCATCAGTGTAGATGTGGGGCTCGGTCCTTCAAACCGTGAGGCCATGACCTTAGCCAAAATCAAGAGTCAGAAGCTTAACCAGCTGAGCCACCCAGGTGCCCTTAATTTTGTTTTTTTCAGTCTATCCATATAAACGGAATCACAGTCTCCTGGCTCTCATTCCTTCAGGGGAAATATCTGGAATTGCCTGATCCTATGGAAAAAGCAGATTTAACTCTTGTATCTTAATAAAGCTGGGGGCGGGGGAAGAGTAGGTTGAACTCTAGGAAACTTCCAGACTGTTTCCCACAGGGGCAGCAACACACAGCGTTCCCACCAGCGGGGCACAAGCAAGCTTTCCGGTGGCTCTGCGTCCTTATCAATGATCGTTCGTGTCTCTGGGCTTTCTTTTAGCTCTCCTAATAGGTTGTCAGGTCTCAGTGTGGCTGTCATTTACGTTTCCCTGACAGCCAGTGACACTGAGCTTATTCCCGCCTGCGTATCCTCCAGTGAATTGTCTACCCGGGTGTTTGGTCCACTTTTGGACTGGACTGTCTTCTCGCTGTCGAGATCTGAATGCTTCTTATATTTTCGCAGCGCGAGTTCTGGCTCAGATCCGGGGAACGCAATGTTTCCTCCCCGCCTGTAACTTGTCCCTTCCCTCTCTTACCGGGGAGCCTTCTAACCTGTGAGTTGGGGTCGGGTCTCTCCAAAGACTTTTCCAGCCTGCTCAGAACGGAGCCCCGAAGTCCCCGCCTCGGCGGGCAGGATCTCATGTGCCCCCCCTCCCCCCTCCCCTTGTTCCTACCACACTGATCTCGCTGTTCCTCAAACGTTCCAGACCTGCTGCCTGCTCAGGACCCTCTGCCCAGAACCCCTCTTTCCCAGACAGCCCCGTGGCTCCTTGCTGCCTCCCAGAGAGGCTTTCCCAGACCTCCAAGATGCACAATCTGGCAGCCCTACCCTCCTTTATGTTCCTCCATAACCCTCACGGCCACCTGAGGCTCCATTTCCTTTTTTATTCTGCCTATCCTTCTAGAAGGTGAGCCTCTGAGAGCAGGGACCTGGGCTGACAGGAATAGGGCCTGGCTCAATACGGATGCTTGGCTGTTCCTGATGGACACTGGATGGACGGACGGATGTCGAACTGCACGCCTCCCTCCTCGGCAAGGAGCCGGCTCTTACCTTCAGGCCTCAGTTGGAAGACAGTCCCCACCTCCAGGAAGCCCCGCTGGACACCTGCACCGCCACTTTCCCTCTTGCTGCCCCTTCGGGCACCCACAGCCCTGTC